CTGTATATTGTTTCTGTCATTTCTGACCTCAAAACAGTGAAAAAAAGTGAGCTATCCTGACATGTAGATTAAAAAGTAACTTCATGACAAACACAGATGGATTTCCAAACTTGAACTCCGATCAATGCTTTTTTAGTTATTGATACTTAGGATTAAAGATGAGATAATAAAAGATAAAACTGTAATAAAAGAATGATTGTGAAAGAAGGGCTTAAATATTTTTGTGCCACATTTAGGTGAAAAACGACTCATTTAACTTTACTGGGATAATCACTCCTCCACATTTCCAACACAGTGCAGCTTCTAAATGTAATAATAACGAATCAGAAATGTAAATCTCTAAATATTGTCTTCCATGTGTCTCAACCAGAATGATGAAACTGAGTGTTTTCCTTCTGCTGCTCCTGCTGATGACGAGCTGGGCTTCCACTCACAGTAAGAGCATCTTCATGCAAAATATCACCAGATGCACGAGCCATCTACGACTACGATGTATGAACAGTAAAATGTACATTTTGTAGATGGAAAGAGGTGGATGCTGGTCAGTCGGTTGATCAAGGAGGTTTAAATACTGTCTTCTTAATAGACTTCTGCTTCAGAATCCTTGAAAAGCAGGAAACAGAAAAACATAAATTCATCTGCAAGTCAACTAATGTTGGGTAACTTCACGAGTCCGATCGATGCATGTGGATTCTTTATGCAGTTTTATATTTTTAGACTTAGTGTTTCATGTTTTGTTTTTGCTACGCGAGCTCGTCTGAACTCTCTGAACATCATAATGAACTTCCTCCTTATTACAAGCTGGTCTACAAAAGCAGGACTTTCGTATGACACAGTTTGACCTCAGAACAAGCAGCAGTGGCGTTTTGAAATGAGCTGAAGCTGTTTTAACATTATGATCCAGACGGTATGACGGCAGGCCTCGCTCTTATCTGTGTTGAACGTATGTCACTACTTTGTATTGTTTATTTGCATACGTTTCCTGCCGTTGTATTCAGAGCTGTGTTACACATTTCTTGCCAGCTTTTCAAAAAGTAGTGCATTGCTTTACTTATTTACCCCATTTAGAAAGTAATCGATTACTACTCATGACACTACTTTGGCATTACTCCACGTCGTCGTCTGACCTGCGTGTCTCAGTGAATCGAAGCAGAACCGACAGAAGGCTGTGCTGCATTACAGGGAAATGAATGAACTGATTATATCTTCTTTTCTCATTCACAGAAAACTTGGCCTTGCGTGGAAAAGCCACCCAGTCCACGCGTTACGAGCACGTACTGGCAGCTGCCTCCAATGCAATCGATGGAAACCGTGACTCGACCTTCTCGCACGGCTCGTGCACACATACTCCTGAGGAGGACAAACCCTGGTGGAGAGTGGACCTGCTGGAGTCCTACATCATCACCTCCATCATCGTCGTCAACAGAGGAGACTGCTGTGAGCACCGGATCAACGGGCTGAAGATCCACATAGGCAACTCTTTAACCGACAACGGTTTAGTCAACCCAGCGTAAGTCAGCCGGAGAAATCAGCAAATATTAAAAGGTTCCTGCATGACCGACTGCTTGTTGAGGCTTAGGCCCATCACTAATTCATGTTACCATCATCAGGGTAACAAATAGAACCTACAACACTACCAGTTTTTCTCAGACAGTCTGGTTAACTGTCATGACCACGACGGTACATGGAAAAGAGACGGCTAACACAAGCCTCCTTTTTATAATCTGGGGCAAATACAACACTGAGCTGCAAGAGCTTGTGTTGAGGTAATCCATCCAGCAATTCACTTTCTAATCACCCCTTTATCCTGTGAAGGTCATGGGGCATATCCTGGATAGGTCGCCAGTCCATCATGAAGTACTAGTTTGCGGAAATGTGCTGCGCAGGCATTAGCATGTTTCATATCTCAATGCAGGCTGGACCGGTGGTTAGCATCGTCGCCTCCGATCTACGT